ATCGGCATCAAAGTTCTTTGGAAATGAAAGAGTTTGGGCATCTTAAAAATAAGCATAATTTTATCCAAGCAGAACATTCTTCGGTTCTGTATAATATCCCACAGATGATTAGACGGTCCTTTTGAATATTATAAAAGTGTATTTCAACTTAAAATGCTCTAGTCTTCTCAGTTCTGAATGTATTCCTCCGAGAACACATAGCTAACTAGCTAAAGTAAGTTTACGTGTTATTCTCTCCAACCTAGACGGTGTAAGTTACATATTCCACAGCCCTGTGGCAGCATGATTTGCTTCAAGCAGGTCTGTCCAACCTTTCAGTGAAGCGAAAATGGGCCTTTTAATTTCTTGCACAATGCTCATCTTGTTTTCATGTGCCTTACAATGGTAGTCAGCTCTGAATTCGAACCATTACTGCTCTCCCACGGTACTGGTGGTGTCGTAGCACCGGAGTGCTCCGGGATGGGCAGAGCCATGGTGCGAGGCTCAGCGCGGAGGTGGGAGCTGCCTTGCCTGGGTCAGAGGAGGTGCTGGGAGCCAGGAGCATGCTGGCTGCGACACCGCTGAGCAGCAAATACTGGTGGGCATTCCCTTCTTCAGTATTTCGCATTTAGTTCCAATTCTGTAGGTGTCAGAGAGCTGTAGGAATCGGGCTGTGTGTTCCAGACCTCCGTAGTGCCTCTTTTCGGTGTTATATCCCAACACAGAGGGTTCTGCGTGCGTCCGTGGGTTCCCCTCCTTCCCTGCCGGACCCACCTCAAGTACACGGTGTGCGGGAGCAGGAGTCAGCAACTCCCTAAGTTTTCTGCAGCAGTTACGATTTTGAGATTTCTTAATTACTATGTTTGCTGCTCAAACAGTTTCTTTTCTACTTTGATTTCTCTTTCCTGGTGCTGTTATGATTCACTCTTGGGAGATTTGGAAAACCGCTTCAGGCTTCCTAAACTTATGCAACAGTTCACGGCTGGAAATCTGACCTGCTTCGGAGCTGCTCTCACCCAGTTGAGAACGTCTCCGCTGCTGAACTGCAGCAATATCCCCAAGCACTGCCCACGGGTTAAGGGAAGAAATGATTTGTTATGAAAATTGGAAGTTTGTACCGTGAGGAAGAATAAATAGCATGCTGTAAACTAACAAATTGCCCAATCCTTAGATTAGATTCAGTGGGAATTTTGCTTTCTTGGATAAAGAACCGGTCGTGGAGACTTCAAGCAGTGTGTGCCATTTGTTACAGCTGGTGGTGCTCCACGAAATGGAAGACAGCGTCCGCGATTGCGTGTAGACAGTGCTGGGGAAAAAAGTCCTAAGAATTTGAAAATGAACAAAACTGCTGCCACTTACTGATTTCTGTAATTTAAAAAGGCATATTTCGTTTCTCATTCAAGAATGTGCGAACGTGCCATGTGGGCATCTTTTTCATAGGAGTCAGTTATGGAGTTTTGTGACCACTTTTTGAAACAATTGCCGCCGCTTGGTGCCTTGGGTAGCGACCTGACGTGGTTCGGCGGCGGCTCCTCTGCCCCTTTCATTTTGGTGTTTAAGCAAAATACAAATCTTCTTCCCTTGGTGAAACAAAAAGTCGTTTAGATATACATCCATTTACACCAGCTGACCTTAATATGTAACATGAAAGACCGTCAGTAAAAGACAGTGTCTGTGGAACAGGGACGTGTGATGCTTGAAGACCTCGTCCAGTACGTCAGCTTTGGTTTGTCTCCTATTCTCCAGGCGCTTACAGAAAATAAGGACTAGTTCCCTCAGACCTGCAAAGAGGTGATTGAGAAAAAACTCTTAAAACTGAGAGTCCAGATTGGTACTGCTGCGCCGTATATGGGTTATTTCCTTCGGGGTGGAAAGGCTTTAAAACACTCCTAGCTGATTTTGGCCAGTGGGTCTCAATATGTTTATAGCTGATGACCATATTCAGGTTAATTTGGGAATCCACGTAAGCCTGAGCTCTAAGCATAAAATGGTTTAGAGATTAAAATGCAGTAATCACCAAAACGTTACTTATTTTCTTCCCTGCAGGGCACTGTTCGAAGGATTATTATTGAGAATCCTGATCAGGTAGGAAAACTGTTCAGTGCTGGAGTTCTGCTTGCGTGACTCTTCCTCCCTTAACTCCCCTGATGCGGTAAAGCGCTCGGCTGCCTCCATCAGGGGATGCTGAATGCTTCGGAATCACGCGGCCCGTGCTGCTGGTTGAGAGGGATGGAACTGTTAGGGACTGCAAATCGTACAGAATCGCCAGCCAGGCTTCCTGCCTCTCAGCAGTTAGATCTCCATCAGTACGCTTCCGTAGTATCACTAGCGGAAATGAATTTCTCACTGTTGCTGCTATGCTTATTTCAAATGTCGTCTAGAGAGAACACGTCACTTTGTTTCCAAACGGACATACACTCAAATGTACATATCTTAACGATCTTGAAGTATATGTGTCTTCAAATTACGTTTTTTTAGTCATAATTACACTAATTCCAAGTTTGCTATTTGACAACATTTGTGAATATTTTTATTAAAATGTTTTAACAGGAGCCGTTATCCCCATTTCTTAGAGGGGGGAGTTTCTGTCCTGGAAATAATGTCATCTATGAAAAGACAATAAGAAAATACGAGCTATTAAATCCCCACCAAGTAAGTTGGTTGTTTATATTATCTATTGCAAAAGAAAATTGAGATGGTAGGAGAAAAGTAATGTACCTGGGTTGGTTTTTTTGTTGTTGTTGTTGGGAACTACTGCCAGCCTGAGAATTGCCTTGTGGAGGTATAGGACACGTTCTCAAAGTAAATGAAACAGTTTCTGTATGTAAGGAGAGCGGAAGTTGGAATATTTGCTGTATTTTTACTAAGAATTTATTATTTCAGACTAATAATGAAAACTGCGGTTGTATCTCTAGCACTGTCAGTCTTTGTCTGAATACTGACCTGAGAATTAGTTTCTTGCAGTAGCTCCACAACAGAATAGTCAATACAAATTTTTATACAAAGTGAAAAGATGAATTTTAGCTTTAATTTTTTTTTACTCATTCTTGAAAAAATATATTTGGTAAAACTATCTGAAATGTCATCTTAGAATTGGTGTTTTGTCAATAGCAAAAATATTACTTCCTTTTTTATTGCTCTGAAATACTGTTATTTTCAACAGGAAAATTTTTGAAATTAAAGCTATTTCAGAGTGATTAATGTTATCTGTTTGGGTTTTTTGTTTGTTTTTTAACTGAAGTTTTCATTCCATTCTGGATTTTAGATAGATAAATTAGGTGTGATATCCATACCCTGAAGTGGAAAGCAAAAAAAAATTGAGCTAATGACGAATAATAGCTTCTTTGTTCTCATAGAATAATAAAGTGTGGACTCTAGTCCTGGAAACCATATTTCTACTTCTTTTTTTTGTTCCCCGGGGTATATGTAGATTTACATCAAATCAGGAGTGTAGTTTTGAAGACAATTTCCCAGTCTCCTACTAAATATCGCTCTTTGGTTTATGCTGCACCGTGGTCTTGGAGCATGCAAACTAGATTTCTGTCAGGTGCAATTAAAATCTGTTGAAAGCGCGCGCCCAGTGTGCTAGGACTGCTGATGGGCGTTTCGCCCGTCGGACACCCGATGCAAAACCGCAGATTCGTAGAACGTCAGTAGTGGGTCCTCGCTCCGCTCCCCCGTGCCACTGCGGAATGCGGGCGTGATGTAGTCTCTGTGTTCGGATTTTGGTGCAGAATTAGATCTTGGTTCAACCTTTTAAACGTGACTGCCTTGTGAATTTTAAGTCAAAATTACCTGAAGCCTAGGATGCGCATTTATGTACTTCTACGTAGAACACAAAATACCTGATTTTTGAACTAAACTTGCAAAAGCCATGATCCAGAGAAACAGTTAAGTTTGCTGAAATCGGTCACTTGCAGTGTTTTGACTGGAACATAAACTAGTTTCTAGTTTATTTTTTTGGTGGGTGGTTTTGTAAATAGCACTTTTCTTGATTATAAAAACAAGATATGTGTCCCTTATATATTGCACACTCTGAATCTGGAATTGCTGAAAGCATTTATAGAGGAAAATGTCTTGAACCATTTCCTGGACTAAATTTTTTCGAACTGAAATAATGCAAATTCAGTTTAACTGGAGCTCTTTTTTATCTCTAAAATACTTAATGAAGCAGGATATGCATGTGTTCAAAATTAAATAATGGGAGGTCCCCGTTGCCTGAGTATGTGTAGAGTAAGAACATAATGAAACATGCAGCTCAGTTAGGAAAGGTGTATCTTCTGTGCTTCTCGTCTGCAGCTACTAAAATTTGGGAATTACAACCTTGAAGTATGAAAGTGTGAGGCAAACTCATGTTCAGTTAGGAAAAAAAAGCGATTTTATTAGGATTGTTGAAATATCTGAAACAGTCATCAGTCTTTCAAATGCAAACCCACATTGCATTCATTTATATATTCATATTAAGCTTCTATCTCATTAAGATGCGTCCAGCAGCTTAAAAAAGTTCATTCTTGTTTCTAGGAGAAGCAGTATCAATTTTGCCACCAGTGCCAGATTCCCCAGCAAGCCGACCAGTGCCACGTTGCCCAGCCCTGCCAGCACTCGGAGCAGCCCCAAGTCACTCACCAGTGCCAGCAGACGCAGACCGGCAGCCCCTGTGAAATAATTCCAGTCTCTGTGAGCGACGACTGCAGAGGAAATACAGTGAGGAGGGTAACAGTTCAAACCTGTGAACCGGTAAGAATCGTTTGCTGAACGGTTTACTATTCACACTGTGTTTTTGTTTTGTATGCAGAGTACAAAACCTTACAGATACACAAAATTGCTAATCCCCAATCCCAAAAGTTTTTGTTCAAACTCATAGCAGGGTCATTAAGCACCGTACACCCGTTGTAAGTAAACAGCAGAGTTTGTGTGGCTGTTGCAGGCAACTTCTTTGTATGCTGTGATTGCAGGCGTTGCCTAGAACTGTCCAAGACTTTGTCACTACTTTGTCACATGCTGGTAAGAGGAAAAAAAAAAAAAAAAAAGGCTGTTTTAGGTTGTATCCTATTTCTTGTTGGTGTAGACCTGCGCTTAATTGTACCGATTGATCATCATTCTGTTGTCCTTTCAATTCTTAAGTCTTGCTGGTTTCTTTGGGTTTTTTCCCTTTATCTGGGAGCATTACCCATTGATTGAGTCAGGTTTCATTTTTGTACAACAAAGCTTGAGTAGCATAAGGCTTATGCCTCTAGTTCCGGAGAAAAGATACATTACTTTATAAACTCGACATAGATCAATTCAGGATTGCTTTCTATCTAAACTGATCAATAAGGATTTCAAGCATATTTCAATTTGATGTAGAAGCATTTGACGTAGATTCACTGGAAGCACAAAAGTAGCTTCCTTCGCCCTTCATTTCACAGCAGGTTGCAAGTTCTGGAGTTCCGAAGGGCTGCAGAGGTTTGCTGTACGTGTACACTGTCTCGGCTGGGGGGTGCAGCAGGCCTTCCTGTGCATCTATTCAACACCCCGGTGGCACGGCAGACCTGCTGACCTCAGCGTTAGAGCTACACGGAACCTCCCCCGGCCAGGTTCTCCCATAAACCAACCGAGGCACACTCCGTCGGGGCTGCTGCTGAATTGCTTTGCTTGTTCACAGACGTAAACGTTTGAACTGTGGCAGCACAAATACCATTTTTGCAGCGGGGAATCTTGCACCCAGCTGGTTTTATCTGGGTGCTGCCCGCAGGCGTTTTACCCACTACAGCTATGAAAACATGTATGTTAATGAAAGATTTCCTAATACTCGATGCTTTCCATATTAGAATAATGCTCATGATATTGCTGTAGAAGATAATACTTTGCATATTTCTTGTTGTTGTAGAGGAAGTAATTTATTTCTGTATAGTTTGCCAAAACCCAGAATACTCAATACCAAGGAAAAGAACAGTGTAAACAAATTGCAAATTAGTAAGAACAAACAAAACCAAATCCATCATACATGTAGCATTTTCATGTTCAGCTTTCATCCTGAAGCAAGGAACTCAATTAGGATCTTCTTGCCTGTCTTCTGCTAGGTGACTTGCCCTCAGGATAACAGTGACCAGCTGGACTGCCGCTTCTTTGGGGAGCTCCTTGCTGAACTGCACCACAAGACCAATGACTTGTACAGCTGTTTGCTGCAGCACGTGGAAAGGATAGGAGGAAGGTATGGGCGTTACATCCGCTCTATCGTTTCGGTATTCCAGGAATCCTAGCGTTGCACACTTGAGAGGACAATATTGTTCGCAAGTTGTTGGTTTTTTTTTTTTCCTGACAACTAGAATTTACTGTATTTTACACATTAATCTAATTTGCTGAATAACTGAGGACATAAAAACGCTGTAAGCCGAGTAAATTTATTGAATTTGATGCTTTTTCAAATTGTTTAGATCAATAGGCAGTAAGAATTACGTATCCCATGCCTGTTTGCGCATAGAGCACACAAGTACACTTGGAGCATGCTCTGACATCTATTTAATGATACAATTTTTTTATTACATCCTGAAGAAACAACCCAAATGTCCGAGTTGCTGTTTCCTTTGTTCTGTCGTGGCATTAGTTATGTCATGGATTGAAAGGTGGCCACCATAAGGCATAATGCTCAGTAGCTACATGCAAATTAATGTTGAGCATGTATTCTGCAGAGCCCTACAGATTGTCTTTGAAAAGAAATGCAGAATCACAGCGGCCAGTAATGAGTGTCCACAGTGCTCTCACCCTTCCCGCACCATCACTGCTGCTTCGTCCTTCCCCCCTCACTCCCGGTCTCCTCCGGTGCTTTCCAAGTTCACTGAAATAACAAAAGGGGCCCCATAGCAGGGGGAGAAGTGGAATTTAAGCATCACAAAAAACCTGATGCTGCTAAGTAAACACTTTGGGCATGTCAATATATTGCACCATAGTTCTGGGTAAGCCATTACCCGGGCAATTAAGAATGTAATTGGGTTAACCGAACGTAATTGGGATAACTGCCCAAAGAAATGGAGCCGGTTAGCCTGTGTTAACTGTACTGCTGTTAATATTCCCGTCTCCTCAGGTATTTCTACATGGAGTTGTTTTTAACAACTTGTGTTGCCCAGCACCTTAAAAGGAAGGTAACAGCTCTTAATCTTATAAAGAACCTTCCTTGCTCCGTATTTTAAAAGATAATCTTTTTATAGTTGTGAATATGGGCATGAATTCTTCAAGTTCTCAAGAAGCTTTCTGTTAATCGGTCCCTTGGATTTTGTCTGTTTTACAGGAACCATGACATTGAATTTACGTGTCAGGTAAGCAAGCTGTTCTGTGACATGTAGTGTTAACAATGGTGTGGATCGTCAAGCAAAGCCACTTTAAATGAAGGATGCTGGTCTTCATTAGTTAACGAGTTCTGCTTGTTAATAACATGCAGAGCCTGAAACCTACTGCTAGGCATGTATTTGCAAATGTGATATTGAAAGGAAACTTGAATGATTTGCATTATTCCAGTATGAGAGTCAAATTTTGAAAGTCTTTCCTGTTGCGCCAATAATGGTTTCATTGTAAATCAAACTTACACGGCTACGTGTATTTTCACTGCCCGTTTTTTGCAAAGGATCTTTCACTCTTGCCCATAAAGCTGCTGTGCACTGCAAGAAGTAGGAGTAGGGCCTCTCGCAGGAGGCAGAGGAACGTAAGCTGACAGAACAGCCTTCCTGTGGCTGCAGAAAGCTCACTTCCCTGAATCGGGCCATGACAGAATCATCAGCACCTCTCGTTTGTGAAGGCATCGTGTACGTGGCAGTAGGACTAGATTACATGAAGCAATGCCACGCAATCACTGGCAGTATCTCCTGTCACACACTGGGCATCCTTAGCTTACTGACAGTCTGTTCTTTGCGTAGAAACACGGATTTGCTCGTATCGTAAACTGCTGGGAGTTCTGTTCTAGCGTCAGCTGGTATTTTCTTGAGATAGGATTGTTTTGAATACTGCTTTTAAAATAAATGTTCAACTCAAGGATTTGAATATATGCTTCATGTATCACTTCATCTCAGTTTGTATATGCCACACATATATAAGACTTTGGAAATTTTCTGGATATACTTTGATCTATTTTCATTCTTATTTGCCTTGTACTAAGTGTGTTTTTCATAGTAGACCCATGTAATTAATGAAGAAACCACATTGTGATCTACCAGGCAAAGTTCTTAATCAAGGTATATCCCCTTTCCTCCCTTCTTTGCTTAGACTGAAGATATTGAAGATTTAATTCCTAAAGGACTGTCTGAGGCAACAAAGCAGCAGATTCGTTATCTCCTCCAGGTATGAGTGGGATGGAGGGGGCATGTGGAAGCCTACAGTAGCTTGAAATGGTGGAAGTTGGCGTACACATGCCAGGGATTTTGTACATAACACACCTTGCTGTTCTGCTTATTCCATTTTTTCTAGCATAAAAGGGTATGGAACCACACAGGCACCGAGCACCGTGTTGTGGCAGTTGGTTCCACAGACTACGCGTGTATTTTAAATTGAACTTTCCTGGTGCTTTCTTGCAGTTTCACCAGAAACCATCTTGGCCTTTGCCCAATTATAGAACACAGATCTTGCATCTTTTTATTTGTTTGTGTTGTATATTAATGCTTCACTGCAAAAGCTGAAGGCCAACAGTAGGTGCTTTACTGAGTGTTGCATTGGTTACCAATTGCCAGCTACATGGAATGCTTGTAACTTCTCTCACCTTTTACAAGTGTTCTGGTTAAAAACCTCTAACAGCACTAAGTTCTGAGGCATGCTTATGCCAGTCAGTTAACAAAACAGAACCGTTTCTGGATGGTTCCATTTATAAAGGGCTTTCGTGTTTCTTCTGATCCTGTAATTTTAGCTACCCGACCATCTCAACCTGCTTTTCCCAGCCACGTGCGTTTGGCTGTAAGGCAGTCGCACACGAGTGCAAGGGTCCCACAATGGTTGTTCATTTTGTTGCTTCCTAGCACTGTAATACTCTCTGCAGTGTGTTTTGTAGAAAAACACTGGACCTCTTTATGAAGTGCTTTGACCATAGCTGATTGGAATTGGCCCCTGCCTTTGATAAAAGGTTAAAAGCAGCGCTGTAGCCTGAATCCCGCTGTCGCCTCCAGAACCATTTGACGTGCGGGTGCGCTAGACCAGGATCCAGACCAAGCTGCGCTGCTCAGCCAGTGTCTGGATCTGGGCTCCCTGAGGTAGGGGCAAGGTGGTCCCAGCCGGGAGCTGCAGCTTAGAATCGCCTCGTGGTGAAAAACACGTTTGAGTGAAGTTGTGAGTGAGCAGCCTGGTCTGACGTCACAGCTGATCCTGCTTTAAGCAGCAGAGTTGGACAAGGCGACCTCCCAAGTCCCTTCCAACCTGAATTATTTCGATCGTTTTACAATGGAGATGGGACACCGACACCGAAGTATTTCATGACCCCATGTCAGAACACTGTCCCAGGAAGCTGGTTCAGCTCACCTCTGTGTGAAAGAGCTGAAACACGTATTTCCTGTTCTCCCTAAGTCCAGCTGGTTTTACGTTCTCACACCTATGCTTAAAAAAACCACAGCTAAAACCTCTTTTGGGGAACCAGATCGTGCCAGCATACCTACAGAGCGTGCTCTCAGGTACAGACCCCTCCGCCTCTCGGGCAGTTCCGCGTGGTATCCGTCCGCATCTGCGGAGGACTGCGCTAGCTGTCAGACCGCTCCGACACGGTGCTGGGTGTGCCCAGAGGCTCACGTCTAAAGCACACAGAGTTTCACTGTAGCAGTACACGACACCTATGGAATTTAGCAACCCCTAGCACTAAGTCACTGCTGAGTGGGGATTTACTTATGCTTTTATAGTCTAAATTCAACCATTTTGACTTAATTCCTTCTTTTAATCTACTCTTACAGTAGATTTCACAATAAAACCAACAAAACCGTAAGTCAAAACTGAAATTCCAGTTTAATTTAAAACAAACGAACAAACAGGTGAGTTGTTACACTAGAAATGTTATTTTTGAAGCCTCAGTCACATAACAGCACCAGCGGGGATAAAAACTATGACAAGGGCTAATCACTGACTGATAGCTTTCCTCAGTTCAAATGTTCAACAAATAAAGTTAAGGCAAAGTATCGGAGGAAGAGAAACAGATTGGAGGATTTCATTTTTGTCCAGATAGTAAAAAAAAATACGTCTTTTGCATAGCATATTTGGCCCTTCCAGATGAGTCAAAGATTTGAGGAATTATTTTCTGCGTTCTTTCCAAGTCAGTTTTTCTTCTTTCAAGTATTAGAAATGTATCATGAAATGCAACAATTTGTGGTTTTAACATGACTCAATATGCAGCCGTTAACGTGCATTAGAAGAGAAAAAGGGACCGGCATTAGGCTATTGTGCACTACTGCCTTTCGTTTTCATCCAGTTCACTCCTTTAATCTTTGGGATCTTCCTTTTAAAGAAGGGAGGAGTTGGTTGTATGGCTTTTTTTTTTAAATTTAATTTCTTTCAAATTTTAATTAAATGCTCTTGCCCTTGGGCTGAAAGCGTGCTTTGCTTTGCCAGATCTCAAAGACAATGACTCATTGCTCTGTGGCCTCTCAGGTAGGGTAGGTGCATCTCTAAATCGGTGTAAGTCACAAAGCTCGCGACGCTCAAAAATCATTGTGCAATATTAACACATTTATTTTTCCCTTTATTGGTGAACAAATGCAGTTCTTTACTCTCTCACTCCATTTTAAAAACGTTATCCTGTGTTACAAGGCAATAATTAAAAAACTACGCCATTTGCAGAACAAAGTGCATGAAAATGTCTTTGCAGAAACTGTGGGCATTTCAAGGAATGACGTGCAGCCGTTCTAACAGTGAAAGTTATTTTCAGCTCTGTAGCAGTTTCCTGTTCTACCCATTGTCAAGCTTATCGTAAAAAAAAGCAGAAATATACTTTTTTTTTTTTTTATCCCCTCCTAGATGAGAGTGACATCAGATAAATCTTTGAGACTTGTACTTTCCACGTTCAAAAATTTACGTGAAGAGCTTTGCCATTTGCAGGATGACTTGGGGGTAAGTTCAGTTCCCATGGCCTCATCCACGTGGTTTCACCCGTCAGTAGGGAGTCTGTTACGGCGAAACTTAAATTGTGAAGTCCGGATGCTTTAATGGAGGCGGCTGGTTTATTAATGGACTCGCAAGACTCATACACTGGATGGGGTTAGACTTCTTTCTAGCAGTGCTTTTCCAGTATTCAATTGGTTGAAACCTAAAAAAACACAAATATTTTCAAAGGAAGAAAAGACCCTGGTGAGTGAAATTAGATTTAGAGCTCTGAATTGGTATATACAATGTATATGTATCTACAGTGCTGTAAAGGTGCTTTTATCTTTAACATGAACAAGGCCTATACACCAAGTGCCTATTTACTAGCGCAGTTCAGCAATCGGGAGACCTTGGTTCCATTCACTCCTGACAAAGTTGTTATTTTGCGCTTCACGGGAAGGCTGGCGTCAGCTGCTGGCTCCAACAACGCCAGTGGTTCTCCAGGGCGCGGGCATCCCAGTTTGGAAGCTGGAGCTCTACAGCTACTGATACGGGCAGTAGATAATCGCTGTCGGGAAAGCAGAAACGCTTCCCACAGCAGCCCAAGTACTCAGCACCACTGGAAACCTCACAGCATTCTCTTGCAAAATGCAAAGTTTGGGGAGGGAGTTTTAGCTGTCATCTTAACACAGAACAAGGAATCTGTGCAGTGACGTGGTCTTAGTTTTGGGGGTTCTGTTGGTTTCTGTTTAATAACTACGAATAATTCTTTCTGTGACAGACTGACAGAGCAGTGTCCAGGATCCCAGTGCTTCCCACACAACACAAAGCCACACGTGCCACAGTGATGGGCAGCTGTGTGCTGTGTAGTTAAAACACCATAGTTTCAAGAAAATTGAGTATTTTCTCAGTTCTAAAACATTGCTTACTAATTAATTACTCAGTATGCTGCTCTTTGAATGTGGGTAAAGTTTACTGAAAAATTGCAGCTATTGACTGTAAACACTTTTGTCTTGCAGAAGTTAGAAACTGACAATGTCATACTGAAGAAGGATTTGGCTTTTAAAGATTCTCAAGTAAAAGAATATGAAACTATGTTGGCTTCTCTGAGAGAGAATAATCGTCAGCAGCAGGTAAGTCTAAAAACATGTTTTCGGTATAATTACGGTCAGCCAAAAACTAGCCAGTATGGTGACTTTTGAGTATTCTGCGTAATTGCTGCCTGGCGCGCGTTTGCATATGCGTGTGATCCCGTCGCTTCCTTAAGGAACACCGTGCATTCATCCCAATTCTGTGCTTTCCAGCAAGGACTCAGGGAGAGTACTGCCAAATGCCGCTCTCTGGAAGAACAGCTCCTCTCGCTTCGGCTCAGCGAGGGGGAGAAGGAGTGTCAGCTGAAGGAGCTGGAGTACTGCAAGCGGGCCCTGGAGCAAGAGATCCAGGGCCTTAAGCTGCAGGTAACGGGCTCACTTGTTCTGCCTTCAGCAGCTGTTACTCGCAGCTACAGCTGCATTAATGTATGAAAATTAATGAGGAAAACTCCCCTTTTAAAATAAAAAAATATTTCATTTTCTGTAGACCTGCTCTAATCCAACACTACAGACCACCACAGATGAACTCTCGAGCCGTTACGTAGAGATGATCAATAACTTGAGAGAGGACAAAGATCGTGAGATCCGCAGTCTTAGGGTAGGTTGATGAACGTGGCACGTGTGTATTCCTCACCTTGTCTGACTGCAGGTACACGGCTTCTTTTTTAATTAAGGAACAGGAAAGATCAACCATATGCGCTTTTTAGGTATCTTCTGGTTCTGCAGTTACTTTATACGTAGACGCTAACGGCAGCTCAGAAACCCTTACGGTAGAACATAAAACTGTGATTAAAAAAAAAAAAACCAAACAATTCCTTAGATGTAGAAAATAGGGATTAATCAGCTAAGTAGTCTTTCCTAAAGGGATATTTTGTGTGTCCTGGCAGAAGGATCCAGCCTCAAGACACCCAAGGAAAATAAAAATCAATCCCAGTCAAAACTATACGTAGGAAATGTCTCTCATTTAAATCACTGCAATAATATTTTACCACCCTGGAAGCCAGTTCAACTTGTTCAGTGTTGTATTAGCTTTATGGAGTTATAAACCTATGAAATTGATACTGGTAGAGCTCTGTCCAATTAGCACTTTGTGAATTGACTGTGCAACTCAACATTCTTATTTGAAAATCATCCAGTCTTACTGTTCATGATTTTAATGAAAAAAATATATCCAGAGTCCTAGATACGTACCGAAAGGTCACCTGCAAGGAGCACCAAACACCTCATTATTCCTTAAATATGTTTTACAGTCTCAGTTATGCCAATTCCAGCAAGACATATCAAGGAGAGAAGGAAGCAACAGTGACTTGCAAATAAGGCTGCATGAACTGACGTCGATGCTGGAGGAGAAAGATGCTTTTATTAAACAACAGCAAGAGGTAAAATAACACAACTTAGTGATCTTCTAAGAGTATTTTATATTTAAGCCTCCACTTAGTGCATAGGTGGAAACGTGCCAGGAAGTCACTTGTACTCTCCTGGTTCAGGCATCAGGGTCAAGATTTTTTTTAACTGAATGCTATTCCTCTGCCAGTCTCTTGGAAGGACAGCCACTTCCAGACTGTTCTTTGAGGGCAATTTCTGCAAATATTTTGTTGTGACTTTAGTGAACTAATACTTCAGAAAAACATTATTTCATTTGTATGTTTACTTTTGGTTTTCTCAGGACCTCTTCAGATTGAAGCATGAGAAGTTATCAGGCAGTCAGTCCCCTGGTGTAACAACTATCATCACTAAGAAGTAATGTAGTCATTCACCTTTCTTAAAAATACATCCTTTTGATTTTCCACTCTATAGCCTCTATTAACTGAGTTCTTCCTCCTGCAAACATCTCAACGCTGCCTGTTCAACTTAAAGGGGAGAAAGTCGAGAGGTTTTCCTATCGGGGAGGATTCCATACTAAGCGTTGTCAGAGCAACTGGAGGGGTGGGCAGCACAGGAAAGTGACATTTAAATGGCTGCATTAGCTCTTTAGTAAGGGTGAAAATCTTTGGGGATTAATGACTGGAAGGACTGTGGCAACATCAGAGTTAGTGATCTGGATACGGGCACGCAGACTTGAGTTTACAGGTTTGCAACTCTTTTTAATACAGGTACAGGAATCAGTACCCTATTCTGGGTCTCCTGTCTGATGACTACAAGGTTACGTCACCCGTCAATAAATCACAAACTATTGTAATTGAGAGGACCGGAGAGATACGGAAACATGTAAGTTTACCTAGAGGTTGGCTATACGTTCTCTGAAATTCCTAATTATTCAATTTAACTTCAAAGAAAAGCCAAAATTGGCATCTGGGAGGAAGCCATAGTGTTAATTTAACTTGGCTGCAAAAAGCCAAGTGCCTGATTGAAGTCGAGGAACTGTACTGTCCTCGTAATTGTTGGGTGGAGTATAAACAGAAGAACCTTTCGTTGTTTGCGTGGACACGTAATTAATTACCTCTAACAAAGCAAGCGGCGTTGTTCAACGCCAGCCTCTGCCCTCGCGCACAAGGCAGTCTGCTGGGTGTCGCTGCGCCGGGGAGGAACTTTTTCCGTGTTGTGCTCTCAGGTGATGGAGCATTTCGGGTGGGCAGCGTTCCTCTGAATCATCAGTATTAATGACTCCAAACTATTACTAAAACATATTAAGCAAGCGTCACGTCCCTGAAACTTAGAGAGACAGGGCAGTGACTAACCCAGGAAATGCAGAAGAGTGGTGACTTTTTAAGGAGTGATTCAAAGTAAAAACAGAAAATAGGACTGCAGAAGCTATTTATGTTACGGGGCACAAGGTAATGTTGCCAAGTCCGAACACAAGGTAGAGGCTTGAGAAAGATCGACACGGCCCGTTGGCAGCCACGTGCTCTGAACAGTGGGACCCGATGCTGCTGTCTGCAGGCAGAGTACGGCAGAGCAGCGCAATAAACGGTGTTAAGAGAGTGGCTTTGGCGGGGGGACACGGCCAAGAAAGAGACAATTACGCGAGCAGCCTGCGTAGATGACAGGTAAAACATCTACGTTCTAAAAGGCTATGTTACCTGCAGCAGTAGGATTAAGAAAATAAAAGGCAGAGGTCACTGGCAAACAGCAGGGTTTTATTACTGCTCTCTAAAACTGATCCAGTGGCATTGCAACCTAGTGAAATGTCAAGGAATGAAACAGTAATAAAGAAATTACAAAAATAAAGCCCCAACCCCCTCCCTCCTAGCTTACTTGGAAAGTTAGTCATACTTCCCATTATAAAAAAACAAAAAAGATGAGGGTAGTCTGCATTTGAAGAGATCAGTATCATTAAATAAATGAGAACTGTTTGTATTTTAAGTTTCCCAAGCATTCTATCAATCACTAGTGCAAGTTTCAGCTGAAACAAAATTACTTTGCTGCAAGATAAGTTTCAGAAGTGCCAACTGCACCTTTACTCCAGGCTTGACAAGCACTTTCTCTGTGTTGATGTACTGTCGGCCAAATCTTTCTGTCTGCATTCATTATCGAGTGGTAATGCCAATAGGTATCTGAATGGTGTGGGTTTTACACTGGAAGTGAGGAGCCTGTACGTGATACTGTCTTTCAAGCAATGAATATTTGTCATGCTCAGTCCTTTAGGATACTCAACTGAAAGAACTTAAATGTTCCTTTCAGCGCTGATCCTAGTTAGATTAGAGAAAACTTTAGGGTAGAAATTTTGTGATACCTGCTGTTTAGGTATCTGATAACTTCCTGTTTGTGCTTGTTTTTTCAAAAGTACAAAAAAAAGCTCGTCCTTGTTTTTGTGTTTACTGGAGACAGGGAATCACGCCAGGTCTGCCATCTGCCTCTTGCCCAACAAAACCATTTACAGCTTAATGGCGTGGCTTTGCCCTGGCCAGTACTGGCTGCTGCGAGCATCTGGTAAGGAGGGAAGGCTCACTGAGACATTTAAAAGTCAGGCTGTTGGAGAAAATAAACATGTAATTGCATGAGGCAGGCTTTACATACCAGACAGTGGTGTTTCATATACAGAAAGAAGTTTGTGTATTTTCTTCTGACGAGCTGCTTGTTTCTTTCAGGAATGAAAGCAATCCCTAAGCCATCAGAGCTGCTCAAAGGAGTTCACAACGACTAAAGCTGCTTTACTTTCTGCTATTTTGCATCAGAAAAAGGTTCAGTCCGGTAGTGAGAAAGGCTGGGGAACACGTTAAGGACATGGAAGCAGGAAGACGATGGAGAACACCTCTCATCCTCACCGTAAAGAACGCGGTTACCTGTGTCCATCATCTGCCACTAACAGCTGTGTACAAACGTTATTTGTACTTTTTCACGCACTTACTTTTCGCTCAGGGAAGTGCTGTGCTTTTGTGGACTTCCATTTTTCTTGACACGACTAACTTCTGTTCTTCAGCCAGTCCTGAAGCAATCTAAGAGACAAAGGAAGAAGTCTGAAACCTTTTCCTCTCTGTACTGTCAGCCATATCCTTCTGTCCTATCTACTCATGCTGAGAAGCGAGAACGTAACACATTTAAGTCCCATACACACCCGGTGGCTGATTTCAATACAGAGTCACAGACTGCTGTTCTGTTTTATTACTACTGCCTACTGAAGATGAAGCAAACCCCAGAAACAACCTTCATGGGGAACTTCACAAATACCTCACTGAAAAACGCTTACCTTACAGCTGCCTATGTATGGGAAGCTAAAATACAAAGGAAAATTACTTAACTCCAGGTGTACAGCTACACAAACTTAGCTGCTGAATTGGCAAATACCAGTTACCTAGTTTGGTGAAATGATTGGGCAAATGCTAATTTTAAAGAATGGAGTTGATGTATTTTCAGGTGAACCTTTTTAAGCCCCCAAACCAGCCATGAGTGTTTATTTGCTGTGCTTGAAAATTTAAAGAACTTGGTATATTTTTATATAGAAAAACTTAGTAGGGAAATAGCTCATAGACTAAGTCTCGTTATCAGACCAACCTTCCCTTTGCAATTTTTGCTCCTTGCGGGACCACAGAAATTGGTATTTGGTATTAATAATTAAGTAGTTCTCCAAGAAACACAGTGCGGAGAATCATAGGGGACATTTTAAACTATGCAGCCAAAAGGTGCTAGCTCTTTATCGTGGGGTTCTTGCTTTGCTTTATTGCTGCAGACATATATTTCTGTTCACAAACAACATATATCATAGACAATGTTTAATGGTGAAAGACCACTGTATGCTATGTGTAACTATGAAATAAACCTAAGTGTAACTTTCTGAATGGTGTCCGTCTGTCCTGGAACCATCCCGATAGGCGGGAGGGGGTGCGATACCGCCTTTGTTTAGACAACTTGTTCCTCTGAACGAATCTTTACAAGCAAAGGAACAGTGTTGGGTCCCTTTTCTTGCTCCTGACACCAGTCTTCCAGTGAATGCTGGGATGTCAGAGGCGACCTCACGCTCTTCGTAACGGGGAGAAAGATCCCGGGCCAGAACGTGCGCCTTGCGCTGCTCTTTGCGCGCTGCCAGCCTAAGAGGGCCTGCCCGCTCAGAAGCCGAGTCAGAGTTTGCACCATCAAACAACAATCATTTCAGCCTAGCTCTACAGAAGGAGGTTTCAGTTAGTTAAAAATTAAATATCCTCGTTTCAATGAGGAGTGCCTTGCCCCTCTGAAATCAGTAATTACTAGATGCTAAGTAACCCCCCGCACTTCTGTACAGCAGTTAGAGATAAGGTACGTACACACAAAGGGTTAACATACTAATGACACAGAACAGTGTCAAAGTGTATTCTATCCCAATAAGTAATTTCAGCTACACTGTCAGCTAATGGCTTTTCACCTTTGGTGACCTAAACGATAAAAAGAACTAAAAGAGGAAGAGCACCGCATCTGCTCGACGCCATCATACCGTACCTGTGCATGACTGCGCAGTTACCCCAGCTGACGGAGCCACCCCGTCGTTTGCCGACTGACCGACGTGGTCTTTGCCATCACCTCAGCTGGAGGCACCGCCCGAACAGCTCGGAGGGCGCTACCAACAACAGCGACCTGAATTACTGCTGGGCACGCTTACCGTGCGCTCCTTTCACCTCTGCAAGGGCTGTACGCTGAATTGCCTAACGTTGCCTCCAGTAACACGAACCGGCGCTCCTTCACCTCGCCATGACTTAAGACCCCGTAATAGCGTAACGCCAGCAGTAAACGCCCTTAAAGGACAAAACGTGCAGGCGCTGATGCAGTCAGAGCTGCTGGGCGCGGTGTTACAACGTCAGGACAAAGGCCACGATTAGGCAAATGCTCTGTTTTGCACACACAGCTGGCACTATGGTAAATCTGAGAACACCGCCACTGTTCCCCATTCCTGAAGAGACGGGTAACACACTATTTTAAAAAAAGCCCAGTTTGCTCATCAGGAAAGAGATGCCAATACCGTATTGTGTAGCAAGGATCAGCTTCTCCAAGGCTTGTTAAGAGTATTTTAAGATTTCTGTCCACTGTAAATGCTGCAGAGCTGATGGCCAGAACACCACGTTTTATTTACAGACAGCATGAAGCAATAGACGCTTGTCAAAAAGCTGAATTAGACAAGCAGAGGAAGCGTAATGGCCGTTTGGGGCTGGTTTTGTTTTCAAACCCGATTTATTTAAAAAGCGAATTGAGTATTTTTTATTATAAAAGTACATGTTATTTGCTGTAGTCTCAGCTATTGCCTCTTGCTGTTGAACTGAAACAGATTTCCCTAACATTATTTCTGCTGGAGTTTACAGAGACACATTTTTCTCATTTACTCATCTTGGCAAATGCCAGTTATCAGCCTAATTCTAAACACTACACTTCAGATAATTTGTCACCTCACTTTCAGGGAGGTCCACTAGGACATCTACATTTTGTTCAGGAACAAATTAGAAAAATCAAAGACAGCACGTACTTCACAGATTTACAATAATATACACAGTGCCCCATTAGACTGTCTTTATCAACAGCGCTGTTAAATAAACCCTCGCTGCCTGAACAGATTGGACAGCATGCAGAGTTTCTTGTTCTTACACTGAAGAGCAGGAGAAAATTGCCTTCTGGTTTCTATGACTGACTTTCCACACAACTCAGTCTGCAATATGGAGCAGTTTCTCTGCCTCGGCCGTAAAATAAAAGCCAAACAGAGCCCTGGTTCCAAAGTCACTGACACCTCCAGCATTCTGTCCGAAGAGTCGACACAGCCTTTGAATACGTCAGGGTAACTTACCTTTACCTTGGGAGTACTCTGCTGGTGT